TTTCTAATGCGTTGTTCTAATAGAATAGCTGCAGCAATATCAATGACAGTAGTTTTCCCGCTGCCTGTGGGGCCGAGTACCATCAGTGGTGAGCAAGGACCTGTTATCCTCTCAGAGCAAATTGTGAGTAAAACTTTGGTTTGAATCTTGTCAAGATTGTATCCATAAATGTAACCTTCCTGTTGAGTATCAGATGGCATTGTTGCTGTTTCCATGACTGTTTTAAAGTGTCTATCATCCACTGTCAATTAATCCAATCCATCCCAGATTGCTTGAAAGAAACGTCCTTCAATAATAGGTTTACATATAACTTCAACGTCCTCTCTGACGTTAATTGTCGTAATGAGGTGGTGTGAAGGTAATGTCAATGATAAACATACTTTGTTATCAGCGGTTGTGGACATTTCATTGATGACTAAATCTACAAATACAGCATCTGAAGCAGTTCCAGGGTTTATTACAAGAGAACACGGTTTATGTAACCTGTCGAGTACAGATTGGCAACATCCCCAATCAAAGGATTTTGATCAAGGTGAACTGCGACATTGTCACCTCCATGCCTGAGTGTCGCTCGGCCTGAAAATTCACATCTGTGTAAGTAAACAAAAGTAATACTATCAACATGTATTCAGGTATGTGCACTATGGCATAGTCATTAAAATTCAAATATCGGAATATGATAAACACTAAACAGAGATTAGACTAGCTCAATAATGAGCACAATGTTTCAAAACAGACAACATCGATTCCTTCACACTAATCAACTACCAACCTTAATATATGGTTGAACAGAACCATCAGACTAGCTCAATAATGAGCACAATGTTTCAAAACAGACAGCATCGAGTTCTTCACACTAATAAACTACCAACCTTAATATGTGGTTGAACAGAACCATCTCTTTCAAGCACAGTTGTCGACGTTGTTCATTGAAGTGGGAATATGATGATTCAGAAAAATCTCCTACTCTGAAAGACTGATAATCCCACCAAGATAGCATTTGGAATTTGTAGTATGGATATTCATGTTGTGCAACAGGTACCACATCTTGTCCATTTGAAGTATGACATCCATGAGAGATGGGGTCATTGAAGTAGTCTATGAACACAGACTTTACATCAACGTCGTCTTCTGTGAGGTGGATTTCCCCTGCATGAACTGCAAGTCGTTTTACAAGGAGGGGACGCTCGCCAAAGTCACAAATAACCCACTGATGGTAAACACCCTCATTTGTTGAAGAGAATTGAACGTTGATTTTGTACTCGCCATTCTCGCCTATGATCAAATCGCCATCAATGACTTCATCTTTAATTGGGTTGCCAGAATCATCAGCAAAAGTGAAAAACTGTCTACAAGGGTCCAACAGCAAACCAACCTTGAATAATCGTTTCTAATAATGTAACACATTATTGAAGTATTATTAAATACTATATATTTTCGATATCACTTACGAATTTATCATCACTCATATCCACTTACTATAAAAGTACAATTTTAAAGAATTAGTCAAATTGCACAAATTAGCAGAACCTGATTATAGCTGGTTACAATTTCAAAAAAGAAAATGAGCTATGACCATATTCATGAGTTCCATGGTAGATGGCTTATTATAGGACAATTACCATACATACATTGTGACACATACCATGACTTTCCATTGTGTCGTCATTGTAGACACTAAACATAACTATTGGCGGAACACACATTGGTCAACAAGCAAACTGGTCTAAATGAAGTATGTTGCGTACTGAGTGTTATGCATTTCTGTTTTACGCATGGCTAGCATCATTTACCTTATACATTAGAAATCCATAGACCAGTGATTGCAGTACTATAATAGTTGGGACATAATAAAACTATAAAACATTAATTGAAAAACATAACTAAACTGAAGCTACTAAACTTACACAACTACACATGTCAAATACAGAATAGTTGCTTTTCATAAAGTTCTTACCTCCTTCGATGTTATAGTAAACGAAAAGGTATGCATAAATGTGTCACAGTTTCTGGCACTCTCGTTCAACTCAACTAAATCCGGGGTTGTTGTATTCACAATTACATCAAACAAATCTTCTTTTATCTGTTGAAATATAGCACACAGTAAGTACCAGTATGTCATCGATGTGTGATCCCAATACAAGCTTATTTAAAAAACATCAGATTAACTTTGGTATATGACGGATATCATATGAATGCACTTGTATTTGATACATCCTAACAAGATATATTGTCTACTCACCACACTGTGTAAGTCGACGGATCGTTGTATGGCAGTCAATATTCCTCCTAAGTATACTGATTTGGAGTTTCCGTTTTCCTTCAATTTCTTAATGTGTCTGTAATGTACTCTGTCTTTCCACTCTCTCAGTTCATCATCGGAATGTGCATAAGGACATAACACTGTGTTAACATCTGTGTCACCAATACTAGGGTTGAGAAATATAGAAAGTAGTTGTCGGATGTTAAGCCATTCGATCAGGGAACAAAATATGCTTTAACAGGGGTGAACAACTGAAGATCAAATATTTAAATGTGACATATTGGCCAATGAAGATAGTGTATGGGTGAATGTCGATAGGTTTACGACAAATCTGAACTCCCGACTATACAGAGCACACTAATGTAATTGGTGATTGGCAAAACGTTTTTTTTTCCACACTTACTTTGGACATAACTGTAACTCTGATATATTGTCGACTCCCCAGGGTGGTGGCCGATAACACCAGAATCTATCACTATCAATGTGTTGACGTCGACGATGTTCTATCGATCTACGATGGGCATCGAGATGCCGATAGGAGCTGAACTTCTTTGATGGACAGATGGCACAGAATATGCTGGGAACTGTATGAACAGCGGTTTCATGTTTTGATATTCTGTCTAGGGTAATATTTGGATCACCGTCATCAGGCTTATCTGAATGCTGTGGAGTTATATTGTCGACGGTATTACGCGATATTGTAACTATGTCTTCAAGCTGTCCTAAAGTGAGAGCTAGAAATAATATATATTTAATATAATAATTAGTCATAATACTCAACAGTTCTATTCAGAAATTAATGGTATGTGTAAATGATGGTCAGGCATATTCTGGATTAATGGACAGTCCAATTACCTTTGTTGGTGAGTTGAAATTTCCATACACAAATTTCTTCATTTCTTCAGTTTCAAATATTTCTTCATATGTCCGTGCAATACGCACCTTCAGTTCTTGAATGCCATCATCCTAGAAACAATGTGGTACTTTAATTTAATTTCAATTAAATTAATGTCCATACAAACACTGTAGCAAACGATCGAGTATGTATGTATGTCTGTATGCGCATGGGAAATCAACGTATATAAAGAATATACGACTCAACGTACATTATACAGAAGTCAAAATACCACAATACCTGTCCAAGTATCCGCTCACTTCTTTTAATATACACATATGCATCTTCGAACTGTCCAAGGTGAGCACAGACTTCAGCTGTTAATAGTAGCATATCTGTGTTGCGTGGTTCCACTTTCAACGCTTGAATAGAATACACATATACAACAATTTGCATTATAATTATGTAATGAAATACTTGTGTTTATATTGTGAAGGTGTTCTATTTATGGAAGAAATTCGAATGAGTTTTTTGTTCTAAACAATTTGATTGTTATTGGCTAAATCATCAGAAGGTGAGTAACAACTAGCAGAACAAATCCCTAGATATATCTAGGGTTACGACGCAGCCAAATGTAAATGTTGATATTCGCAGAACTGTCTTATGTTCACCATTTCTTACCTTCATTACATTGTTCCAACGAACTACCCAGTGCTGAAATTCGTAGAAATGGGTTCCATGTCTAAAAGAAAGAGTGTAGTGTAAAACACCAAATTAAGCATGTCAAATGTTGCTTTCCAAAACGTCGCAGTGATCGCTACAAATTTTGTGTGGTTACCAATTACCAATTATTATAAATTATTAAGATTTTCTTATATTGAACAAACAGCTCACCGGTAAACGTAAAACACATCTAATGCGTTTCATGGTTAGAGGCACCCTCATGTGATGGTCGGTGTCCGCTGATCCAAACACTTCCATTCGCAGACGATGAAAGGTGAAAACGTCATTGTAGTACTGCCAGGCGTCGATGATATATCCGTCGTCATATAAAACGTCACCTTCTTGCTCCAATAAATACAAAATATTTGTAGATAGATGTGGTTTCAGTATTTCAGTTGGCACATTACTGAAAAACAAATGCATTATTTAAAATATTAATTGAACTTGACCCCCAATCACTCCATCGTGACTGAATAAGAAAATAATTCCATATATCTACAAAGAGCCACGCCGGTTCCAAATGTTAAGTATTATTATAATCTCCTCAAAGCCCAAGAATCAGTATACGTGCATTATCGTGTTACCATAGCAACGTGTGATGTTACGTCAGTTATTGGTTGTCATCAGTTTTACCTTGCTACTAGGTTCTTTATCACATCTATTTTTGCACGTCGCTTCAGTCTTTCATCGTCCATAATAATGTCATCCATGCTGTCATCAGTTGAATCATCCACGGTGTAATTTATTACATCATCCATCGAAATATCCACTTCATCGTTTTCCATCTTTGTCTGTAAACAGACAAAAAAGAAAGAAAAATTGTATAGATCTTGAACCATACTATATAGGCGTGTTATTTACTACTGAACTTTATTTACAAAGGCATTTGGTTTTCCTGTTGAGTTTGTGGCACACTCATCCAGGGTACAGAAGC